AGAGAAAGCAAGCTGCCAGGTCCAGGACTCAAACTGCGGTTGACCATGTGGGAGTCTAGCACCTTAACCACCACGCCACCTACTGGCCCTGGCCCATCTAATGTCAAAGTTTGTTTTTCTCTTGTAGCTTGTTACCTTGCACACAAGGTGAAAAGCTCACAGTCCATTGTCTACAAATGTGTGTGTTTCTAGAGAGGCTGGGAAAACTACCCCTTCCTCCTGGGCCATTGTCCTAATGAAGGCTCTGTCCCCTCTTCTGGGGAAAGTTGTGATGGCTCTGTCCGCAATTATTCCTCCTTTTATTAAAAATAAAAATTGGGGAGGGGGGCGCAGGTGGCATGGTGGTTGAGGACACTGGATTCCCACAGGGCCGACTGCGGTTTGTGTCCTGGACCTGGTGGCTTGCTTTCCCTCTTTCTCTGTCTCTCTGGCCAGATTAAAATAAACAAATAAATAAGGTTAAGTAAATTAGTTTATTTTAATCTGACCAGAGAAGGACAGAGTGAGAGAGAGAGAGAGGAAGAGAGAAGGAAAGTGAGAAACCAAGTCGCCAGGTCTGGGACTCAAACTGTGGCCGGCCATGTGAGAGTCCAGTTAACCACCATGCCACCTGCCAGCCCTTAAATAAAATAATTCTTTTAAAAAATAAATAAAAATCAGGGAGCCAGCAGATGGTGTAGCAGTTACATCGTTGGACTCCCATACGGCTGCCTGTGATTCAAGTCCTGGATCCGGTGGCTTAAAACTCATGCCAGGTGCATGTGCATGCAAGCCCAAGATCCCGGGAAGAGAAAGGAGAAAGGATTATGGCATGGCCATTCCTCCTGGGGGTGATTTCTTGCTTTCCTTCTCACTGTTTGTCTGTCTCTCTCTCCCCCTCCCTCCAGCAAGTGCATGTGCCCTAAGGCAAGAACCTCTGAAAAATAGATAATAAAAAGTAAAAATAAAAATCACGGCCAGTGGGTGGCGTGGTTAAGGTGGTTGGATCCCACATGTCCAACAGTGTGGTTCGAGTCCCGGATTTGTGGCTTAAAAAACACACCCAGTAGCGTGTGTGTACATGCCCCAAATCCTAAGAGAATGAAGAAGGAATTGCAGCATGACCATCCCCTGAGAGGGTGCTTTCTCACTTCTCTCTCTCTCTCTGTCTCTCTCTGGTGAGTGCATATGCACCATGGCAAAATTAAAATTAAAGGGGCCAGAAGGTGGTGTGGTGGTTAAGGCATTGGATTCTCCCATGGCTGATCTCAGTTCAAGTACCAAACCCAGCAGCTTGAAAATCACGACAAATAAGTAGATAAATACAGAAATATTTAAAAATTAAACTAAACTAAATAAGAGCAAACAGACCCAGGATAGGCGCGCATGCCGGTGCTGCTGCCTGGCAGGCGGAAGGTGCAGGCCAAGTCCCACAGAGCCGTGGGGCACGTCTAAGTTTCGAGCTGCTCTGAAGGCTGGGGCAGGAGGACGCGACACAGTGCGCCCACAGGGCCGACCGTCTGAAACCGCACGTGCGCACACAGCGGTTGGCAGAGCACACAGCACGTCTGCAAGACCCTCCTTTAGAGTTGCTGCCCTTTCTTCCGGGTCTCTCTAGTGTTCAAGGTTTGTCAAGCCGTGAAAGCATGTGTTGTTGCTTTACAAACAGGAAGTGAGAATGCTGGCTTTAAAACCACGCACCTCAACGTCAGAGCTAGGGGCCAGCAGTTAGCGTAATGGCTATGTCGCTGGACTCCCACGTAGTCGACCACGGTTCGAGTCCCAGACCCGGTGGCTTAAAACTCACGCCGGGTGCGTGTGCATGCGTGCCCAAGATCCCGAGAGGAGAATGGAGGAGAAGGGATTGTGGCGTGGCTATCCCCCCTGGGGGGTGATTTCTCGCTTTCTATCTCTCTGTCTCTCTCTGTCTTTCTGGCAAGCAAACACGCCCTATAGCAAAAAACTCTCAAAAAAAAAAAAAAATCCCCCAGCCAGAAATCATTGCCTTTCCCAGCCTCCGAGATCCCAGTCTTCGCCCACAGGGATGCTTACAAACCCCTGGTGTAGTCATATGGCTCCCCCGCTCAAATCCAGCCCCCAACCGCACGGCCTGCAGGGCCCAGAGCAGACCCCTCTGCCCACTGCCTCTCATGGTGCCCAGCATACATCGGTGAGCGTCTATGAGCAGATGACTGAGCCAGAGTCCACGGCATCGTGGGCCTGACTGGCCAGGGAGCTTGGGCCTGCGCGGCCGACGACCCCTCTGTCCACTCCCGCCCGTCTTGGCTGTGCCATGCCATCTGCCCCACAACACTCCTGCGCCACTCAGACCTCCCAGACCTCCCCGCTGCTTTCCCAGCGGGGGTCAGCCCGGCCTGACTCCTACGTCCCTGAGACAGGCTGCCCGCCTCAGTCTGCAGGTCAGCCCATCATAACCCCTTTGTCCCCAACACAGGCTCCAACTCTAGGCCGCCCCCCACCTCCGGTGCACTCACCCAGACAGCCCTCCTCAGGGAACCGATGTCCCGGGGCCTCCACGCCGGCCCCAGGCCTCTGAGCTCCACATCTCCTTCAGGCAGGGCCAGCTTCTGGCCTCGAAAGTCCGGCTCTTCATATAGCACCCAGCTGTGGGCACAGAGACCCCAGGTCACAGGTGGGGATGAGGATGTGCCCAGGGTCTCTGAGTAGCCGATGGGGTTTCTGCCAGGCTGACCTGGGCACTTATTTCTGCCCTCTGCACCTCTGCGTTCAGGCAGAACCCCCACCGAACCCCCACTCACCAGCCTCGCACCACTCGCAGGGAGGCTGTGGGGGCCCAGCCCGAGGCGTCAGCGACGTCGTCCCAGACCACCCTGCTGCTGCCTTGGCAGCCGGGCTCGGAGAAGAGGACCACCTGAGAAGGCACAGAAGCAGAGCTAGGCCCTTCCAGGCCCCGCGCCGTGGGCCGCCCCACCTCCCTGCCCGCCCATACCTTTCCAGGCCTGGTGTTCGGCTTGCCCTGGGTCTTCAGTGCTGGGCTCTGGAACAGAGTTGGTGATTAGAAGCCGTCCGGAGTGGCTCACTGCCATGCCAAGGATCCTACATCCTTCATACCAGCCTGACCCCACTCCCAAGGAGCTGGCTCCCGGAGGATGCCACAGTGTTCCCCAGCCCCGGGGCCTGTCACCCTGTCCCAGAAGGATTTTGGAGCCACCCATCCCTCTGGAACCCACGATGCAAACCTCCCACCACACAGATGGGAAGTCTGAGGCCCAGAGGACTGTGGCTTGCTCAGGCCCAAGTCTCCTGCCTCCAGAGACCCTGACGACCAGCACCATTCTCCTCACTCCACCCTGCCCCAATCCAGGGGAGGCCAGGCATCCCCTTTCCCACCCGAGGCCTCACTCACCCACCCCTCCGGGGGCCGGGCCTGCGCTGGCTCCTCGGAGGGTGGCCTTTCACTGCAGAGCAGAGGCAGCTGTCCCGGCACCTTCCTGAGCCCCGGCGCCCCGTGGGGTGGCAGAGCAGACAGTTTTGCACCCAGTGGTTCGGGTTCCAGGGCAGAGGCCTCCTTGGTGGCAGGCACCAGGCTGCCAAACAGAAGACTACTTCCAAGACGGGAAGTGGGCCTGCTGGCCGCGTGCACTTCCGGCCCCAGCTCTGGCCGGGGTCCCCGGGCACCTGCTACGTGCTTCTTCATCATCTCCAGAGGAGAGCAAGCGGCCTGGGCGGGCCGGCTGGCACGGGGGTCCCAGGAGGGGCTGGGCTGGCCTTTCTCCTGCCTGCGCTGGAGCTTCTCATCATCGCTCAGGTAGGGGTTCTCCAGCTCCTCCTCCTCCTCCTCTTCCTTCTCTCCCAGCGTGGGCACCTCCAGGGGGCTGGGCCCAGCCGCCCACAGCCCAGGCGGGTCCTCCTCAATGGTGGGCAGGGTGGCATACATGGCCAGGTAGGAGGAGCGGGGTGCTCGTGGCAGCCGGTGAGTTCGGAGGATCTCGGGGGGCTCCATGCTCCGTAGGGTATCCAGGAAAAGCTCCAGGTCAGCGGCCAAGGCCACCTCCTCCTCCTCCCTCGATAGCTCTGGGAGCGTTCTGCCCTCGGTGGTCTCAGGGACAGACTGGAGCTCCCCGCTGGCCTCCGCCCCTGGGGCAGGGGTGCCTGATGGGCTGGGGGACCCCTGGTCCACTGAAGAGGGTGGAGCATGAAGAACAGTCGGGCTCTGGACAACCACTTCTGGGGTGGAACATGGCACAGCAGAAGCACCAGCGCCCTGAACAACCTCGAGTTGGTCTGAGCCCTGAACAAGCTTATCCTGTTCGGGAAGCGGGCTAGCAGGAGCAGGGGGGCCTGGAGCAGTCTCTTCCATGGGGAGGGAGGGGGCAAGGCTCCCTTCAACAGCCTGGACGACCTCCGGGTGTGTGCCAGGGCTGCCTTCTGGGGCCTGGGAGAGCCTGGCTGGTGTAGGGGCTGAGGCAGCAGGAGAGACGGAAGCTTGCACGAGCTCTCTCTGGGTGGGCGATGGGGCGGCGGGAACCCCAGGGCTGCGCTCTGCCTCTTCGTGAGGAAGGGGGCAGACAGGGATGCCGACAGGGTCCGAAGCAAGCTTATTCCTTGGGGAGGAGGGAGCAGAGTGACCTGGGCTGGGGAGGGCCTGCTGTCCTGCATAGGGTGGTGGAACAAGAGGTTGTCCAGGGACTAGTCCACCCTCCCTCCTCACCATGGGCAGGGTAGTGGCACCAGAGGGGTCCGTGAACCCTTCCCTTTCCACAGGGGGCTGGGCGTGCTGAGTGAGCTGGGTCCTGGGTTGCCTGGGCACAACGGGCTGCTCCAGGGGAGGTGTGAGGCCCAGGGAGGGGGCATGGGTCTGGAGTCCAGGCGAGGAAGATGCCAACGCGTGGCCCTGAGAAGTCTGAACCGAGAGCTGAGTGCTGGAGGCTCCCTGCACCCTGGGGGGCTCCCAGGCTCTGGCACTGGGGGCCCTGACCTGGTGATCTAGGTGGGCCTCAGGGACATCCCGGTTCTGTGGTGGGTGAGCACCTTCTGAGAGGCCTGCAGGAGCCAAGGCAGAGCTGTCCTTCCGCTCTGCTGTCCCAGCCTCAGGCAGCTGCCCCAGGGCTGTCCCCACGGTGTCACCCAGACCTGAGCTCTTGGGCACGCCAGCCGTGGGCCTGGGAAGGCGGCTGATGGGCGGGCCGGGCTCCACGGGCACGAGGCTGCTCAGCAGCTCCAGGGCCTGGCTGCGGCTGGGCGAGCCCTCGGCCCGGGGGCTCACCACCACCGCCCGCACGGTCCGGGCCACATTGCGGCCCCGTGGCAGGGCCTCACCCAACACTGTGGGCCCCATGTTCACGGAGGTGTTCACCCGCCGATCCACGCGCCCTCCGATGACCGTGGTGGTCCGCACAGTGCGTGTCACCCGCCGCTCCTCGCAGTTCCGGGAGCTCCCGCTGCTGAGACCCACGAGTGGGTGGGGGCTCGGCTCCCGGGGGCCCGGCAGAGGCACTGTCAGCTCAGTCCTGGCAGCGGCTCCTGGGCCGGGGGGCTCAGGCCTGTGAGCATGGGGGGTGCCGTCAGTGAGGTCCGCAGCCTGCTGCAGCCTCTGCCCCGGCCTTTTCTCCTTGGGGGGCAGTGTGTACTTCTTGGAGAAGACGGGCCCGTGGCTCTGGAAGGTCTTGCAGCCAGCCCCATCCGGAGGGCCCTGGTGATGCACAGCCTCTTCCCGGGTCACAAAGCCATTGACTCCCTCTCGACGTTGGCCGTCCTCAGACGCCTCCACCGGGGCCGCTCCCACCCGGGCCCCTGACACCAGGGACACTTTGTGAAAACGGTGTCTGACCTCCTCCTGGGCGGGGGGTCGCTGCCGCCACGTCAGCGTGGCACTCACCACTCGGGCCTCAGCCCGGGCCTCCTCCATGTCGGGCCCCGGCCGTCTGTCCCGTGGCCCTGTTTCTCCGTGGCCCAGCTCCCTGCGGAGGGGTTTCTCCGTGGCCCAGCTCCCTGCAGAGGGTGGCGGGAGAAGAGAGGTGAGGGTCAGAGGGCGGCTCCCCAGAGCGCAGGGTAACCTCCCTGCCTCAGACAGGCTGGAGGGCGGGGGGCAGGCAACGAGCGGCTGC